CGGCGCACGGCCCGGCGGGCGTCGGTGTCTTCCGTGGCCAGGAGTTGCTTGGGAGGAAAGGGAGTTGGCTTCGGTGTTTGGACAGGATGAGACATTCGGTGCAGCAGTCACTAGGCAGACGAGACTGAGAAGTAGCTTTGAACCAGATATACTTCTCACTTCTTCTAGAAATCCAAGTGGCAGCTTCTGGCAATGGAAAAGGCTTACATGTGTGAAGAGCCTGGTGTTTTCCAGTCTGCAACTGTACATCTTCTGCAGGAGCGGTATGGGTTGGCACAGCAATGGACCAAGTGGAGCGCTTAATGATCTTCATGTCAAACAAGCAGAGAAGTGCTGGGAGTCGATGTTTCTCCAACAAAAGATACACTCCCAAGGAGGTTGCTAGGTTGGAGGCCAATGCCTTTTATGAAAAAGTAAAAAAGAAGCCAAGGAAGTGAACTGATGTTTGAGTAGGATGTGATCACGACTGAGGCCGACAGCACAGCCCGAATGAAGAGACGAAGGAGCTTCATCGGAGACAAACACGACGAAGCAGAAGCATGTGTGCAACAGGTTTCACCTGAGTGTCGTTTTTGGTGGTGCAATGAGAAATTCCAACAGTCTAACACGCACGAGACGACAGCTGTTCCAAAGGTCCGCTTCACTTGTTTTTGAAGATGGCCGCCAAGCACCACGGGAGCTCCAGTCTTGTGGTTGCTTGAAACCCGACCGCACCGGACCGCACAGACCGCAGGAGGAGAGCACTTCGAAATCAGGCGCTGCGAGCAACGAGAAAGACCCCAGAAGTCGTCCATCGGACTGTGAGGGATCTGAAGGAGATCTGAAGGATTCCTATCGGATTCGTTTGGTTTCTACTAGCTTCGTGTTCCTAGGAGTAAGGCCCTTTGCTCCTAGTAGCAATGCACTTGTTCCTAGTAGCTTATTGTTTCTATTTAAGAGTCAGGGCACTGGTGCTTTCCACCAATCCGTTTGGTTTTTTACGCCCTTGGCATCCTTTCTGATTGACCAAGTTACATCTCATTTTTCATGCCTGTGGAGAGTTTTTGAATGTCCTAGTCAAGGCAACCAGAGTTTTTGAATCTCCATCAATATATATATATATAGAACTCCCCCATATGAAGATGATCAAGATTCCACATTTGTGGGTTTGGATGTTGATGCCTCGCTTCAGTTGGCAAGCCCTGCGGTGGACTTTGGCTCGAGCTTCTGTTCTGCCTTTCTGATTTGATCGGTTGAGCAGTTTCCAAAACGCGTTTGGGCCATGGCGAGGACCTTTGAGGGAAGGATCTTCATGAAGCCCTTGGCGAAGAGTCGGGGGCAAAGCGCGGAGGTCTACGTCAATGTAGGTTGGGTCGCGTCCGGGAGCCAGGGCCTTCCACCTTACGATGCTCGCTTGGAGGCAGCTTGCTCGCAAGAGCAGTGGGATGATTTGATGGCAAGCTACAAAGCCTTTCATGACGAAAAGTCTGTCCCTGAATGGATGCCAATTGTCAACTGCTTCTTGTGTCCATTTACCTTGGGGCTGACCTGTTGCTTGACGAATGCCATGATCTACAAATACACCTCCGGCCTGGAGCTCATCACCAAGGAGAAGACCAAATCTTGGAAGTGTCCTGCGAGGTTCGAGAATGTAAGGTTGTACGGGCCCGCGGGAGAGGCACCCGACCAGATCCCCTATGATCAGTACGGCCAGCCCCTCCTTGCAATGCGGGGCAAACCGGGAGACAAGCCGTTCGCCGAATGGCCACCGGCAGGATGCAACCTCGTCATCAACCTCAACGTTCGGGCTGAAGAGTTTGCACAGCAGTGGCTCCCACAGGGACCGGTCGCTCCCATGCAGATCGGGATGGCGTGACTGGTGGCCGCGACATGCCGCGACCCAGCGTGACCCCGGTGAATGTTTTTCCAACTTGTTTTGCATGGCATTCGGTCCTTTAATCTTTGACCGTATGCCCCTTGCTCACGTCCTGTCATTTTTTCCGTGGGAGTGCCAAGTACCCCCGCGTGCTTTCGAGATCGTCAAAGTCGAGAGCTGCAAAATGTTGTGTGAGCTTTTGGAAGGGCCTTGCTTCATTGGTTGGCGCAGTGGTTTTTCTAGTTGACCGATTGGCTAAGTCAGCCTTGACAGGAACACCGGTGCAATCCATCTTCGCACTTCCAGGTGAGGAGGACGAGGCCTGTTTGTTTCGAAGCAGAGGGATAGGTCGATGGCAACTGAATGATGCCAAATGCGAATGTCAGTGTCCGTCAAAATCTAGGAACCAAATCACACCCTCAGGGAGCTTCCTTGAAGCGTGAGCTAGTCGCCCTTACGACGTAGGCGCCTACGAAGTAGGCACCGCAGGGCCAACCTTTCGCCGCAGACGCTTCGGTTCGAGTCGGTACCGGGACCGCGTGGCGTTGCCGCTGCGTGGGCATGTGGCTCCTGCGGAGTATCTCCGGCGAAGAGGCCGGAGGACCTTCCTTCTTGCGCTTCAAAGGCGGCAACACACCTTGCCGCATGGCCCCCCCAATTCTGCAAAAAGTTTGGAGATTCTGGAAGGTCGTTGGCTTTTTGGTACTAGGAGCAAGAAGCTATTAGGGGCTCCTGGCATCGCTACTAGGA